CAAGGACACAATGACCGAGACTGACGCAGCCGGGACTCGAACCAGCAACCTTCCAATTACAAGACGAACTGCCAACTCTTGACCCACAATCGATATAACTCTTGAGCTCCCATATCGCCCCATGGGGCGATACGGGAGAAATATTTTTGCTCTCGTCCCAGTCAGGACTCTTGAGGCAGCATTTGGATCACCTGAAGGCTTTTTAGGGAGTTCTTAGAAGAACCTGATAATAAGGATTACAGTAGTCCAGCCTAGAAGTAATAAATGCATGAACTAGTTTTTCAGCATTGCTCTGAGAACAGGATGTTTCTGACTTTTTTTTTAGCAATACTGCGCAAATGTAAAAAGCAGACCTGCATTATCTTTTAAATATGCCTGCTGAAAGACATATCCTGGTCAACAATGACTTAAAGATTCTTCACAGCATCACTGGAGGCCAGAGTAATGCCATCTAAAGTAAATATCTGGTTTAAAAAACAAAACAAAAAACAAAACAAAACAAAAACAGCCGAGTACAAAAACCTCAGCTTAGAAGCAGGAAATCAGAGGTCATCCATGCCTGTAGTTTGACTAGTTGATTTGTATCATCTGGATTTGTGGATAGCGATGAAAGCGTATGCAGTGTTCTAAGACCACCGATTAAGGAAAGGACTTGCTATATAACACTATAAAAGGCATTTGTCCTAACACTAAACCCTGTGGAACTCCAAAACTAACTTGTGTGGTGTTAGGAATACTCTTCCATTTACATTGACAAATTGGAATCTAAATACCAATGTGTGTTCTAATCTCTGTAGTAAAACAGAGGAATGTTATCTGTTGAAATTGAGTGAAACAGTAGTACTGATAAATTAAAACCTTTCATTTTGAGATCCAAACAATGGCAATGCTTACTTTTATGTATTGGCAGGAGGTTGGGGTTGTTTAGGGTCCCTTTCAGGTTGTTGGGAAAGAGATTAATTGTGAGCCGATTTTGACCATATTCATTTAAAATATATCTTGTAAACCAAGAGCTCTTTCCTCCTTCATTCTGAAATAAACCATGTAAGTTTGGGCTGTTAGGGAAGCCCAAAAGCAGGAAAGGGGTAACTTTACAACTGATAACAAAGGCAAATTTTTCGTTATTTTGTTTCATGTTAGTGTCTAAATATCACAAAGTTAACATGAATTGCAGAGGTAAAAGGAGACATGAGATCAAGAAAAATGTCACAGTGATGAATGAGCAACTGCTCCAACAACACTCTCCACATGCACATTTAATGACAGTGTCATTTGCAGAACCTCCATTATGACTACAATCCATGAAGAGAGACAAGCTCCCTATTTCCATATTAATTACTTGCAACTACCAAATACGCCACATGGAACCAGTTCCAGACAAATGAGGGCTCTATTTAATATGGGGCTGCAACTATTCATCAAGTAACTCAAGTTAACTACTTAAATAAATAAATAAATAAATAAATAAATAAATAAAATCCTCAATTCAAATGTTTTGCTTTGATCCTTCATATTATCCACAATTCTGTCACACTCTTTGTAAGTTCAAGCATTTCACCCACAGTAGTGAGACCGTGAGCTCAACTGTAGCGAAAGAAAGTTTTTCCAGTGTCCAAAAAAGCAGCTTTTGTTACTGTAACATAAAACCAACGT